ATTATTATATTGTTAGAATTTTTAAATTATAATAATTTGAATTAAAGTATTACCTGTTCAAATTTTAATTTATAAATACTATTATCTTGTTTTTCTACCCAATTTAAATAGCCGGCAACTGAAGGGTTTTCAGTTTCAACCACATGTGGCTATAGCAATTTACATGTCATAGTATGCCTATAAATATAGCAAATTGAATTCCATGATTTAGAGTGATTAGTATATTTTTTGAAAAAGCTAAGTTGATTTTCTGTTCTATATTTTTAATGAATTGCAAATTGTTTGATATCAATAGCTCTAAACAAGAATATTTAGGTTAAAGAGAGTGAAAAAAAAAAAAAAAAAAAATAGAATGATAAAAACAAAAAAAAAAAAAACTATTTTAATTCTACAAATACTTTAAGCATATTTATTTCTTTGTATAAGGCTCCAGGAATTAAGACTAACCAAGAAAAATCTTTTTTTATTTTTTGAGCTAGGTTATAAGGAACTCTATCACAAACAACAGATAACCATTTTTGCTTATATTGGTTTATTTTTGTAATGTTTTGTATGTGTTTTAAAACTTTTTTGATATTATTTATTAAATTAGAGTTTAGTTCTAATTGGTCTGATATATATATTTTTAGAACAACAATATTTTGGTCAGGTTTTAGTATTTGTGTAATGCTAATATATTCAAAGGATGAAGTTTTTTGTTTGTAAGTAAAAGTACTAAATATGTTAGATTTTATTATAATAGGTTTTAATTGAGAGGTTATATTACTAATCTAAATAAATTTATTAGTTAATTCTGCTTGCAATATGGCCAATATGTCTAACTATTTATTGCAGTTAGGACAAGTATGTTTTTTATTATCGATATTTGTTGCATTATACTTTTTACATCATTTCGATTGACTGTCAATACCTTTTTAATTATTTATTATCATGTTAATTATATTTGATTCATTATTTTTTTTATTAATAAGTTTATTTAAAATTGATAACAAATATGTATTTAATTCCAATTTATATTCTGTTTTCATTTCTAGTATGAGATAATATAGTTCTTTATATTGAAGATTCTTTAATAAATTATAACACTAGGGATTTGTTGTAAATTAAACTAGATTTTTTTTATCTATATTTAATGCAACAAAACTTGTAACTGTATAATAAATTACAGTATTATATTCATAATTGTATTGGCCCTATTGTTTATTATCGAAGGCTAGAAATAATAGCCCTTTGGGTATAGATTCTTGTTCGATTGCAAGTAACTCTAACCAATTAATAAATTTTATGTAACTTCCAGAACTAATAATATAATTGTTAATATTAACAATTGTTTTAGATCATGTCAATGAGTATTTAATTGCTGATAAAGTTAGATTTATTTCTGATACATAATTTTTATATCTTGATCTATAAATTGCATTAACTATAACTACTTTTTTGAAGAGCTTTTCCTTTTGAGTTGATTCATTATTACTACTCTTATTATTACAGATAAGAGCTTTAATAAAGTTAACAATAACTAGGTTATAATTAACTAACCAATAATTTGGTATAAAATTCAAGAGAAAATCAATTTTTATTTAAAATCAATAAATCAATATCATTATAAACATTTTGATGTTCTTTATTTGCAATTTGAATAATCAAATTAATCCTTTTTTCTTGACTATTAAATTGATTTTCCTACTTTAATAATAAATTATTATTTTGATCAATCAACTCCTGACTTAATTGATTTATTTTTTGATCACATTTCAAATTGTGTTTTCAAAGATCTTCTATTTTGATTATTTTTTTATTTAATTACTCTTGAAGCAAATATATATAATTTTCAAGTTCTTGAATTATAGATACAGATATTTGTATACTTATACAAAATTGTTTTTCAACCTGTTTACTACCTAATTTAACCTGAATGCCAATTTCACAAGTTTTCTTCTTAATAAATTCAGTTTCAAGATCATGATTTTCAACTTGCTATTTTGGATTATGCTGCTGACTATTTAAATTTAAAAGATGTTAGTGAAAATAATTAAAAGCTATTAGTTAATTATAGTATCATTTGTATATGGAATAGTCTTCTAAATGTATCTGAATTTTAACTAACTCAGAAAAAAAAGAATTATATAGTAGAAGCCAATTTTTGAATATTACAGAATCAGCATGTTATGTAGGTATTTTAGTTGCATATTTTTTTAATTCAACACTATTATAGTACAAGTTAACTAATCTAACAAAAGCACAAGGCAGATTTGCTGCCAGTTCTCATTCTATTGCTGTTGATTCTCATGGTTGCTGATTAGATTCTACTAATATAATAAAAGTTTATAGTAAGTAAAAATGCTTTAATCTTATTCACTATTACAAAATAACAAGATATAAATAGTGATATTAAACCCTTTGAATCTAAATTAACCAGGACTTATACAAACAAATAGTTAATGTCCCTGTAAATATAATAAAAAATAAAAAATAATATGGCCTGGAAGAAGTATAATAAATAAAATCTGCATAGTGCCAAAAGTGTCTATTAAAAATGTACTTATTTTTTTTTTTAAAACCAAATATTTGTGAAGACTATTATGTATTCATCTTGGGTTGAATAATGATTATTAAAATGCTTTTACTTATATAAAATGAGACCTTTTTTTAGCAAAAAAAAAAGCTACCACACTCAAAAAGAATTCAAGCTACACTTAAAAAAACATTACTTAGACCCTACTTATAAGTGTTAAGGGCGAGATGATTTTGATTAATTTTTGGCTAATTACAAAACTACACATACAAAACTATGTATTCTTATAATCGCCTGGTATATTTCAAAATGACTTTGTGTGATATTCAATAAGTAAAATTATAAAAAATCAGTAAAATTAATATAAAAAATTTGATAATCTGATGATTTAAGATGTTCTAGAATAGGAATCATTACAGAATGATCTGTCATATATATCGCCAAATATGGAAATTTCCTGGACTGTACTAAAGTATATGGTAGTATATGCAGATCACTATATATATATAGGCCAATCATATGATAATAACATGACCTGACAGATGGACAGACAGACATTTTTTTGCTAAGGTATATGGTAGTATATGCATATCGCTATATATATGGGCCAATCATATGACCGGACATAATAAACAATATATAACATTCATAAAAGTATAGGTCCTCGCTACGCTTCGGACAATTAATATAATAATAATAAATATATTAAAATTTTAAAATAATAATAATTAAATAATTTATAAAACTTTTACATCTGTAAATGCCGAATCAATATTGCTCCATCTATTAGCATGATAAATAATTGCAATTTCTTCTTCACTTGTAGAAGGGTATTCAATTGGAGTTAATGAGTGAATTACTTCTTTAGCAGTTAAACTTTTTGTAAAAAAATAATATCATTTTCTATATCAAATGAAGTTAAACTAAGTGTTTCTTGAGAAAGGGAATTAATAGAAGATATATTTAATGTATCTTCAAAATCAAGTTCATCTCTGAAGTCATTATCAATACCAAGATCTCTTTCGGTAAAACTATTAGTTGCGACAGAAAAGGCATGATCTTTATCAGAAGTAATATCGTCTGAGGAAATATATATTGCAGCACTAGAAGACATGATATTTTAAGTAAACGTTGGAATAAAAGTATTGCGAAAGAAAAATTTTTAATTACCATTAATTATCGTTAATAATTTAAATAATATTATACATAAGAGAGATTATTTAAAGAAAATTATGCATAGGTAGTTAATTTAATATGCTGCATAATATTTAACTAATACGCAATTGTGGTTTCATTAATTTACGGGCCATACACTACTTCATTGATCAACCATACGTCACAACTATTCATATTACT